TCTGTCCTGTCTGTCCTGTCTGTCCTGTCTGTCCTGTCTGTCCTGTCTGTCCTGTCCTGTCCTGTCCTGTCTTGTCTTGTCTTGTCTTGTCTTGTCGTGTCCTATCTTGTCCTGTCCTGTCCTGTCCTCTCGTGTCTTGTCCTGTCCTGTCCTGTCCTGTCCTGTCCTGTCTTTCTGTCTGTATGTATGTATGTCTGTGTGTGTGTATGTGTGTATGTATACTGTAAATGTGTTTATTCACAGATTTTACACAAAAGTAGAGGTTACATTACATGCCACTGTGAGCCAACACACTGCTATGTGGTGCTCAAAAATTAGGCAGAAGCGTATAGTCTTTGCATTCAGGCTTCGATCAACATCAATATTGTGTGCATGTGGCTGCATGTGGTCAAAACATGTAAAAACTACTGTCATGAGCTCTGGAAATGGCCTTCTTTTCTATGGCAAGGTGGTCTCTGCTTTTCGTCTTGCTGCGAGCAAAGTCATCCTCCACTGATCGAATTGATGGATCTCATTGCGACAGCATTGTCAAACTTATGCTTATATAAGTACTATAGCTGAAGGGCAAACCGGTTGAGAAACTCAAAAAAGCATGGAGCTCTTCCACAGGACTGAAGTTGCCTAGCTGATCCATACAGGAGATCAACTCACAACGGCACCTTGCGACTTGGAGGGGCACCACCTGCCAGAAAAACAAACAGAACAGGAGCTTCTGAATCATTGTTCTCTATCAAGCAGCAAAGCTTCGTTAAAATGCTTGATTTCTATTCCATTCACCAGTGCCATGGAAAAAGTTGTTCAGACTGCACACGGATTGACAAATCTACCCAATCGAGCCTGACTTAATTCGCTTGATTGCAACCTGCTCTGCACATGACTTCAATCGCAAGTACTGGAGTTCAAGCGCGAAGAAGAGTGAGTCAACAGTTAACACTGTCAACACGTTTGCCTCAGCTTGAGCGGCCATCCTCAGCGGATGCATGTAACTTTGCATGGCAAGGGTTGTTTCACGGGCAGCAAAATGCTCTGCGACTCTAAGACCCATTCTTGTCCATCCTGGCTGAAAAGCGCTGCAGCCCATCCTGGTGCTTGAGGTGTATGCCCATCGATAGAATCTCCACTACATATTGTGTCCTGTTGCAAAAAATAGCTGAAAAAGGGGGTGCTTCTGAGCATATGAGGGCATGTCGCATTTCCTGAATCTCATTCTCTCCCAACATGCCACTTAAAAAGGTCTACCCTACTCTAAATGAAACTGCCACATTCTTTGCTTGTGTTTGCAGCTTGCTGTCACTTTGCATGTCGCCTCAGTCTTCTGCAAACGCTCCCGCAGCTTGTTGCGAAGATTCACCACTCGATCCTTCAGCTTCTCAGGGCTGTCCTCGCACGGAATACGCAAGCCATCCCACATTCTATTCCAAGACCCGACATCTATTCAATTCATACAGATTCCTAAATTCTATCTTCACTCACGGCACGATGCACCGCATCTTTTTGGCGAAGTTTCGTGGCTGTCACGCTGTCCGGGAAGCTGAATCAGGCCACGGCCCTCTTAGCTGAATACTGCAGAATGTCTCTTGTTCGCAGGCTCAGATCCTCAGATCCTCACTTCCTCAACCTGACCGTTGCATCGAACATCTGACTTTTTCCCAATCAATTGATTGAAGAGCAGTTCGAACTATGTGACTTTGCCTGTGTACTGGCTTGCCCAGTAGGCAAGAACTCTTTCCTCGCTTGAATCTGCATGTTGCAAGTACAAAGTCTTGTTGTGCAGTCAATTTGCAGTGCCTTTCAGCACCTCAACCATAGGACGAAAAGATCGTAGATCTGGGCTCGTCGAAGGTAAAGTCGCTGATGTATTGTGATGCCTACACACCGAAAACACATCTGATTGGTCGTAGCCTCATAGGTTTATGGCCTTCACTGCATCAAATCCCTGGCGGTGGCATGCCAGGAAGAAATGCTGCAATTGCGCCATGGAGACCTGCAGATGGACACATAGCAGACTGAGTGTAAAGCAAACGAATCAAACGAAGCAAGTAAGATCAAGTAAGCCATGAGATAAAATTGGTGCAACACAGAGCAATGTGAAAAAAATATGTAAAAATACGCTTCTGAATTCTAGTTTTCACTGTCAGGTTGCTTTGCGCTCTGCAATGCGTCCACCTGCGATCAGGGCAAACACAAACGGCTTTCCTAATGAGTCCGTGATTTTACCAACACCAATTTATCACAGGAAGAAAGCATGTACGTGTGTTGCATTTCTTGCTCTGCTCGACTTCCTGCATTGCTGGGAATGTCCATTTGAGCTGCAGAACAAAAGCCAAAGGCATGCAATTGACGGCGCGCCTACTGAAGTTCCAAAGACGACAGCAGCATCATCTGCCCCAGGATAGAATGTCAGGAAGTACTTGGAAGCCACATCCTTGTTCCTTAGCACATTCAAAACCAAACAAAGAGCCACACATCACTCACAGCAGTACAGAGCAGTACACCACATCTACAGTAATTCTTTTTTGAGATGAAGCTCGGCTTTTTGAACTCCGCCTTCAAGTCTATTCTTCCTGGTCGCATAACTGCAGGGTCCTTAGGCCACAATGTCATGCGAGATACAAAGCTAGCTCTTCACATCGTGCGCTTTGAGATCTGGACTAGCTTGTCTGGATGATTGGTTGTCATAAAAATGACCACGTCATCTGGAGCTCCCAGACCATCCAGGCAGTTCAGAAATCCACTGAATGACCTCCGCACTTTCCGATGTTGAACCAAGTGCAATCAACAGTCAAAAGCCTACTAATGCTCGAGCAATTGCAATCAAAGCCCTAAATGCAAATTGGCGAGGTCTGAAGGCACGCTATAGTGACTCGATGTGACTAGTGAATCTTCGTCAAGGCACAAAGATGAATTGTTTTGGTCTGCTTCACGGTGGTTCGTGAAAAGTGCGTCAACATCTTCCAGAACAACCATGGAAAGTGCTGGAAGCTGCGTCATTGCATTTCCTCAGTATGTTTTGCACGCTATTTTCTTTTAGGTAGAAGAGGTAGCAAGAGGTAGCTAGTACCTGACTAGTACGCTGCTACCTACTGGGGACGCAGGATAGCTCGCGCTAATCATTTGGTTCCTAGATTTTTGGGGAAACTTAAGTAGTCTCGGCAGTACTCAATGGAAATACGGTGCGTAAACCTGCAGGCCGAGATTCTGAAGGTGTCATCAGTCATGTGCTTGTCCATTTGTATAAAGCATAGATTTCGCTGGATGTGTCCAGCAACTGAATTCATGAAGGAGGTCTTGCCAGTTCCGGGCTCTCCATGTAGCAAGTAGCAACGGTGGTAGGGAATTCCATGTTTGGCATAAAACGTCCGGGTCTCATCTTTCAAAAACCACTCAAGGTCATCCAGAAGTGGTCGCTTCACACCTGAGGTCCGAGGTCCACTCTTTCAGAAAGACAATCCAGGAAAAATAGATGTTGCGTAAGGTTGCCAGATAGATATACAAGTAAGTCAGGAAAGAAGACAATCTCAAGTGGATAAACAAACACAACTCTATGACTCTGTGAAGGTGTCTGGCCACATCAGCAAGCACCCTTTCAGCATGCTTGAGTTGCACACCATATGGATTTAACTTGATTTGTGCTGATTTCGTTGTTTCTACATCCAGTATGCTTGATTCCAGCGTTCTGTGTCAACATTGTTTGGCTTGTCGATCCAAGTCACTCTCCTCTAGAACGATGCTATCCAGACTGCGAGCCATTCGTCTTGAGATTCGTGACCAAAAGTGATACTTTGTGTCAAATCTCCACAACGACACCCGATTCCTTGGATCTACTGGACCGAAGTGAATTGACAAAGCTCGGACACGATGATTCCAAAACTCTGAAAACGTGCAGGTTAGTATCGCTTTCTGCTTGGTTTCATTGTCTGCAGCCTGGCAAACGTCAGATTGCAAACCCTTTTCGGGTAGAAAGAACTGAAGAGATCTTTTGTCTTCCCTCTTCACCAAGCCTTCTGGCAGATCTTGAGCAAGGGCATTTGGTCCTGCCCTTGAGCAAAAAGGACCATTGATGTGAAAAAGGATGGGCCGTCACCTGCAAACAAATACGTCCAAAATGGAATGCAAATGACCTGAGCGTCGGAACTGACACAAAATGTCTTTCAAGCAGCCTTGAGACAAGTTGCAGCTGCTACCAGAATTCTGTCCATCAAACTCAAACATCAGTCAAGGCTTAAGAGGAGTCTTTGCAGGATCCGAGACATGAAGACAGTCTTCAACACGACGACATGCTATCCAGACACCAAGAAAAGGCAAAACAATCAGAATAATTCTATTAGATGCAGTCTAAAAGAATGCCTGTGGGATGCCCAATGCGCTGCAGAACTGCCGTAATGTGCGCGGTCTTCTCTTCCCAAGTGAAATCGAAGGAATGCCAGCCTCACAAAGCGTGCATTCAGCTCCACAGCAGTCAAGCTTGTGTTGGAAACATAGTGCCAAATCAAGGATGAGCAAAGATCCAGAAACATAGCAACAAGAGGGCAGAAGCCCCCTTGATAACCTTGTTGCAACCTCATGCTGGACAAATGAGTATGGCCAATCATGCAGCCTAAGCCGATGTTGGCAGACGGCATCTGCACTTCGCGCTTGCGCTTGCGGCTGGCCCCACCAACCTGCCAAAATACTCTTGCAAGGGTTGACTCCACATTGTGACAATCCAAATGTCAAAGGTCCACCCAGCCTTGCCCTTGCCCTTGACCATCACAAGCAAGTCATCAATGTCATCATCATCTGCCTTGGTTCAAATTGCATGTGGTTTTCTTGGATTTCTCATGAAAAGGAAAGACCTCCCAGAAAGGCACAAACCCTACCCACTATTAATTTGAGCCGCAGCTGCACCAAGGCCTCTTCCTTTGCCCATGTCAGCTCGAATACTCCTGGCTTTTTGCACCTCTTTTGAAGAAGAGCGAAGCAAAGCCAAACGCAGGAGAAAAATGCTAGCAGCACTGAGGTGGCGGCTGACTTGCTGACAAAGCGGAGCATGTAGCTGAAGAGCGGTTCCTAAGCAACTTCAAGGCAAATGCCATGCTCGAATGAACTTGCAAGGAGTCGCCCTGGCCCGTCCTCGTTGGATTGCACCTCCAAATAAACGGAATCATTTACATCATAGGGCAAATGTCGTCGGGCCTCAGCAAATCAGCCAAAGCATTTTTCACGAATGAACCTCTGAAACATCTGGCCTCTTCTTCAAGAAATGGACAGGAGGATCGGAGAGGTTCCATCTTGGCAGCACCATCGCTTTGAGTGGCCATGTTGTCCATGCTAGGGACTTAGCACCAAAATCCACAATGCCTAAAAGCTTGGAGTCTTGGGGCTAAAGGTTAGAGGAGCTTCCATTTCAAGGCTTGATGAGGTAAATATATAATAGATTATAATAGTAAATGCGGGAAGAATGTAGACAAGCCTGTGGTGCAACTCAGCAAATGTGTGCAGGCTCTTGCAAGGTTGAGAAGTTTCTGCTTGCATTCAAATCGAAAAGGCTCAGAGAGTATCAAGCCTCTTGTGAATTCCCGAACAGAAACAGCTGCGGATTGTTTTACTATCTGCTCAGGTCATCTGTCATTTCCATAAATGTCCAGAAGTTCTGCTCTGCTTATCCTATCACAGCAGACACCCTACGCGGCTCCTGTGCATCATCTTGAAGACCACTCACACCCATGCTGTGACCCATCCTGCAACACGGCGAGCTGGATATGATATGGAGTGCACCTCTGGGTTTGCTTGAATGTACAGAATCTACATAGAATTTTCAGGCACCTTAAATTAGAACTTTTCTGCTTCCTGTCCTTGTGATTCCTTTACCAAGGCGCTCGATGCCTTTCACAAGCATTACCAAGTCCTGCTGCAAAGCAAAACCAGCATTAGGTAAATGCACACTGCACACATTCACAAATGAAGTCGCCTTGTTCTTTGCGACTCCTTTCAGCTGGCTCATACCTCTCAAGAAGGCGTTCGTAAATTAGGATTGCCCCACATTGAGTGTGCATGCTTACTGTGTGTGTGTGACAATATCCCGTAGAGGATGTCTATGGATAAGTGTCTTCTTAGATCGCATATGATTAGTCACCGAAATTTCACTCGCTCTGTCAATCACTTGAATGCTCTTGCACTTACATCACACTGCTTGCGCTTGCGCATCCCATACCCAGATGACTCAAATGCATTGCTGAGGTCTTGGTCCTTTGCAATTACACCTCTTTCTTGCACCATTAGAAAAAGTTACGAAGGCTCAAAGGCCCTACCAAAGCGCTTCCAGAATGCTCTTTTTTGGACATGACTTGCTGCACAGTTACAACTGATGCAGAATGAAAATTACTCAAGTGCCATGCTCGGCTGTAGCACGTTGGGTTTGGTCTCTGTATCCTCCAATCTTAAACTTGTCCCAACCTGCCTTGCATGAACTCGTCAAGGTCCAATTCTCCCTTCGAGATGCGGAAGATTTTAGCTTTGTAACCAAAGACCTTGCGACGTCCCCAGCCTCTCCGCCCGTGTCCAGCAAGGCAAAGAGCTCCATCGCTTGCTCTTTCTTCAACCTCTTCAGTCCATGCTTATTAATTCTAATGAATAACTATTTGTTTCTAATAGCTTCTTGTTACTACTAGTAAGGAACTTGTTACTAGAAGCGATGCACTTGTTACTAGTAGCGAACATTGTTACTTGTCACGGAGTCGCGAGGAATCGACCTTTTTCTTGTTTTGCGGTGAGGGTAGGCCGCTAGAAGCTAGGTAGGTAGTAGCTGAGGTAGGACGCAGGATAGCTCGCGCTATTCATTTGGTTCCTAGATTTTTAGGGAAACTTATATACAGTAACTATTAGCGATCATGTTTTTCATTTGAAATGCCCATGTCATCCTATCTACCAACGCGAAGCTGAGCACCGTACCCAAGCATCAGAAACTTGTCACATATTGCTGAATCTTTAAACGCCTCCCAAAGACCACAACCATTGGCTGAAGATGCAAAAAGAACTCACAAGTGCTTGTTCTTTGCAATCGCCTCCTCAAATTCTGCCAGACTCACAATGCCACTTCCATCTTCATCAATGTCCCGGAACATCCTGGCACCGTTTCAAACATTCCCTGGTCTGACCTTGTCTTGTTGCAACGAGCCCAGCCTGCCTTTGTTTTGAATTTAAAGATTGCGCCGAAAGGTTGGGGGAGAGGGCAAGAAGAAATGTGGCGATGCTGGCGATGCTTCAAATACTCCGCGGGTTTATCAGCATGTCTGTTTTGATTTATATATATATATATATATTTGATTTGTACAAGCACAACACCCCAATGGTGCGACGCATTGGTTGAACGACAAGTCCTGCATTGTTAGTGTTTGATAGTGTTTGACCATGCGCTTATTGTTTGTTGCATTCGCAGTGGCAAAGGTGTTTGGATAACAAAGAGTTGCGTTCGGAAGATACACAGCTGCGTTCGACACATGACCGGCGGCATATTAGAAATGGTTTCTGCGACCGGAGAAAACATTGGGTTGACGAATGTTGTCGGGCCAGAACATGAATTCATTATATAGGAAGACAACAAGTTATGTTCAGAGACAGAGGCTCTCCTTTCAACGGTCCACAACCAGCTGTTGCAGGGCTTTCCATGGCCTCACTGTATTTTATATGGTTATGTCCGAATGCCTTTCATAGCTTCTTTCCAACATAATTGTCTTATTTCCGAAATGTTGGTGATGCTACCATGCAATGACGACATGTAAAACCGGCACAAATATGATGTAGACAGCAACATCAACAGCCTGGAACACCTGCAATTGGCAACTGCTGAGAAAACGCTGTTGCAGCTTCGATACCGCGCGCGCGCGGAGCAACTAAGGAGTTGGAGGAGGGGATGCTCTTTCCCCTGGAGGGCTTGATGATTCGCTTGGTCGAGCAGTTCCAAGGCACGTTTGGGGACTAGAACTGCTCAAAATCAGCTGTGGATGTTTGGGGAGATGATCAGATCAGCTGCTTTTTCTTCAGGTGCGAGAGATCGTTGTTCTCAGGTTTGGACGTGTTGATGAACTTGCTTGAGGAACATTCCAATTTCGAGGGTTCTGGGTCTGGAATTATCCAGGTTTCTGGGAGGGATGTCCTTTTCTCGAGGCTTGGGAAGCTTGGGAAGCTTTGGAACGCATCCCACTTTTCTGGAATTGCTGACTCTGTCCAGAAGGAGCTAGAAAAGGGAGGGCAGGATGGACTGGACATCCCATGTTCCGGAGGGCTTAAATTAGGCACATGTGCTACCCGCATCCTGGCACGTGCGTATGTGCGAAAAACATCAATGTGGCAGTTGCCACACCTTCAGGAATGGGCGGATTCAAGAATGACTCAAAGAACAGGAATTGATATAATAACTGGAGTGAGGTCCTAGGTAGGTTCTCATATGTTCAAAGACACTGTGGGTTACGGTGCTAGGTACCGGGTACACCACGTGCAAGCAAAAACGGTGCAGTATGGACCCAAAATTTTCTGCAAAGAGGTTAAAAATCTGGGAACCGTTTCGAGTCTCCTGCGCTTGCTACTAAGCTTCTTACAGCATTTCAGCTATCCTGGTCTACCCCTCCAACGATACTTGCGCAACGAGTCCAGCGCCACCCAGCAGCCCTTCTCTTTCAGGGGTACTCAAAAAAAATGTAAAACAAATGAAAAACAAAAAAGAAAAACTGGCAACAGAAAGAAAAGTCTGCTTTTTAAAAATAAATTGCTCTTCTGCTGGCTCTTAAGTTGACTCACTGAGCTGCGAGCTCTTCCAGCTCTTTCATCTCTCGTTCCTGCTCCCTTTTCCGCACGAGTGCCATCCTCAGAGATAACAAGCACAGCTCGGGGTTATTTTTCTTTTATATATGTATAGTGTAGGCATCAAGCAAAATACTTTGGGGCGGCACTCTTGCTCATCACCTTTGGACATGTCCATGGCTTGCCTCAGCCCCAGATCATTTCCTCCCCACCTCTTTAATGTGAGATTCAGATTCAACTATCCTCAGTCACTGTCTGGACAATGACGGCTGTCACCAAATTCAACAGAACAAAGGATGAGAGCGCCGTAAACAGCCATAGGAAAATCCTGGCTCGTTTGCAAAGTGCTAATAGCAAAACTTCCAAGTCACCCTGGAAGTCTTTGAGCAACACTTTGCCAGGTTGGCCATATGTAGGGGAGCTCCTCGACGAGGGCATCCTCAAGTCAAGTGCCAAAAGGCCAACACGATGGTCGGTGTGGCTAGGGGTGTGTGTGTGTGTGTGTGCGGGTGTGTGTGTGTGTCCACCCCTGGACAAAGGGTTTTCCACCGCTACTCCGTCCACGTGTTTCCACCTTTTTTAACCACCTTCTGCAAGCAG